AAAAAAGGGTTCAATGGAGCAAGTAGTTGCTGAAAACATCATCTTCACTGACAAGAAACTGTTCACTGTTGAACAGACATTTAATCATCAAAATGATCTTGTTCTTTCAACAAATCGTCAGTCAGTTCTTGATGCTTCAGGAAAATGTCTTAGAACCCAGAAAAACCGGCATCAGTAATGCTTTGGTTAGGCATCTCAGAAAAAGAAAAGGTCTTGTTTTTCGTTCCTCAAAACAAGGAAGTATACAGAGAGGAGTTCAATGAAAAAAATAAGTAAAGAGGTCGTAACATCGTAGAGAACCATTTGGAGGCAATGTTGAAATGATTTAGGAATATCGCCCTACATTATGACCAACAGACAGTTTCTTCCAGCAGGCACAATGAAAAAGAGGCTTCAATGGATCAAGAAGTTACTGAAAACATCATCTTTACTGATAAGAAACTTTTTATCATCAAAATGATCGTGTTCTTTCAACATGTCGTCAGTCATTTTCTTGCCGCTTCAGGAAAATGCCTTAGAAACCAGTAAACCGGCATCAGTTATGTTTTGGGTAGGCATTTCAGAAAAAAAGAAAAGGTCTCCTTTTGTTTTTCGTTCCTTAAACCCCCCCCCCCAAAAAAAAAACAAGGAAGTATACAGAGAGGAGATCGATGAAAAAATTAGCTAAAGAAGTCGGAAAATCAAGAGAACCATTTGGAGGCTATGTTGAAATGATCTAGGGATGACGCCCTTCAAGATAACCAAGAAACAGTTTATTTCAGCAGCCATATTGAAAAAGAGGCTTCAATGGAGCAAGTAGTTGCCGAAAACATCATCCCCACTGATGAAAAACTGTTCGCTGTTGAACAGACTTTTAATCATCAAAACAATCGTTTTCTTTTAACAAGTCGTCAGTCAGTACATGTTCAGGGTGCAGCATAAATGCTGTTACAAAATTTCAAATGAATTCTACTTCTAAATTTTTCTTTATACGTCCAAGAACATATACTATATGTTTTTTTTTTCAAAATATTTTAGCAAAACTGTCTATAGAAATTAAAAGTATATAAGTGAGCTACATGAAAATGGGTAGACTTCACCTGGAATTTTTAAAGCTGAAAGACAACTTGAAATCAATAGAATGTCTATCAAAAGGGCAATCGATCGATACAACGAGACTTCTTCCATCAAAGGCAGACTGAGACAAGGACGTCGTCGATCCCCCACCAGAGCGCCAGAACTCATTAAACAGTTGCGTGAAAAAGTCTAGCGTAATTCAATGAGGTCAATGGGAAACCAGGCCAACGGGATCATCGAAGAGAATCATGCGGAATCTATGTCGTAATGATCAAGAGATGTCGCCCTACAAGATAACCAGGATACAGCTTCTTTCAGCAGACACAATGAAAGTGAGGCTCAAGGGAAGTAAGCAGTTGCTAAAAATATCATCTCCACTGGAGAGAAACTGCTCACTGTTGAACTGACTTTTAATAATCAAAATGATCGTGTTCTTTCAACAAGTCGTCAGTCAGTTCCTACCGCTTCAGGAAAATGATCTTAGAACCGAGAAAACCGATATCAGTTATGCTTTGGGTAAGCATTTCAGAAAGACAAGGTCTCTTTTTGTTTTTCTTTCCTCAAAACAAGGAAGTATACAGAAAGGAGATCAATAGAAAAATTAGGTAAAGCGGTCGGAACATCAAGGGAACCATTCGAATGCTATGTTGAAATGATCTTGGGATGAAGCCCTACAAGATAGGCACCAAAAAACAGATTCTTTCATAATAAAAAAAAGAGGCTTCAATGAAGTAAGCAGTTGCTGAAATGACTTCGTGATGATAGGCGGCAACTCATTATATTAACTGATGAGAAACTGTTCACTGTTGAGCAGACGTTTAATCATCAAAATTATCATGTTCTTTCAACAAATCGTCAGTCAGTTCTTGATGCTTCAGGAAAATGTCTTAGAACCCAGAAAACCGGCATCAGTGATACTTTGGTTAGGTATTTCAGAAAAAGAAAAGATCTCCTGTTGTTTTTCGTTTCTTAAAACAAGGAAGTATACAGAAACGAGATCAATGAAAAATTAGGTAATGAGTTCGTAACATCGTAGAGAACCATTCTGAGGCTATGTTGAAATGATCTAGGGATGACGCTCTACAAGATAACTAAGAGACAGTTTCTTTCAGAAGCCATATTGAAAAAGAGGCTTCAATGAAGTAGGCAGTTACTGAAAACCTCACCTTCACTGATGAGAAACTTTTAATCGTCAAAATGATCGTGTTCTTTCAACAAATCGTCAGTCAGTTCCTGATGTTTCAGGAAAATGTCTTAGAACACAGAAAACCGGCATCAGTTATGTTTTGGGTAGGCATTTCGGAAAAAAAGAAAAGGTTTCTTTTTGTTTTTCGTTCCTCAAAACAAGGAAGTATACAGAGAGGAGTTCAATGAAAAAAATTAGATAAAAAGGTCGGAACATCGGAGATAACCATTCGAAGGCTATGTTGAAATGATTTAGGGATGTCGCCCTACAAGATAAGCACCAAGAAACAGTTTCTTTCAGCAGCCATATTGAAAAAGAAGCTTCAATGTAGTAGGAAGTTGCTGAAAAAAATCATCTTCACTGATGAGAAACTTTTAATCATCAAAATGGTCAGTCAGTACCTGACGCTTCAGGAAAATTCCTTAGAACCCAGAAAACCTGCATCACTTATGTTTTGGGGTTAGCATTTCTGAAAAAAAAGAAAAGCTTTCCATTTTGTTTTTCGTTCCCCACTAGGTAAAGATCAAACATGAATTATACAGAGAGAGAATCTTGGAAAGGGCTCTCAAGCCATAATGCAATGTCACATGGTGATGAACATTGGACACTTCAACAAGACAGAGGGACGAGTCATACTCCTCGTGTAACACAGCAGTGATGCAGAGACAACTGTCCTGGTTTTATCACCAAGGATGAATGGCTTTGAACATGCTTTTGACTAATTTTAGTCATTTGAAGTTTATAAAATCTTTCTCGGAAGAAAATAGGTTTCTCAAGTCCAGTAGCTGTTATTGCTCTTTCCAGTATTGATGGGAGGCTTCCTTCTTAACCTTTTGTTTGCAGTAGTGTGGAACATCAACA